TTGAAGTATACTCAATTTATTCATGAAAATATTTGGAAAAATATCATTTATATGAATATAATGATGAAATATTAATTAGTATTAGTACACAAATTATGTTTGTTATTAATTAGAACAAAAAAAAACCGAATAAACTGAAAAAAAACGAGAAAACCGTCGTTTCTCTGTTACATATAAAACGTTAAGATATTTCGCAGATATTTCAGTACTTCTTTATTATTAAAACACAATTAAATTTCATTCAATTAGTGCACAAAATCTCTCGTATATTTAAAATATACGGAAATCCCAGTACAATGTACTCGTATAAATATTTTTTTTTATTTATTTCCTGTACGTTTTTTTTTTAATGCTACATAACTCTGTTTTCATTTGTTATTATTTTCTGTTCATTATTATTATTATTAGTCACGGCGAGTTGGGATTTTATTTACATTAATTTGCATGCGAACGCATTTTGCGCTGGGTCAAACATTTGCATACATGTTTATAAATATAGTGGAATCCTATTTGGATGAACCCAGCATCTTTATAAATCTAGCTATTATTACAGTTGATATACTAAACAAAAGTATAGATATTTTATTTAATTAAGAATGGAAAGTTTTGTGGATTCGTCCCAAGTAGCCTGTAATATGTTACCTTAACCCTTGAATTACATATAATAGGGTCAGTGAAATCCGACAGAATCTAATTGTCCTTGAGTGCACTAAGTAATAGCCAAATTGAGGACAATTATTTTTTTGCAAGTTTAGTTAACGAACAAATTAGTGCAGGAAGCGATATTTATGTGCCAATTAGGACTTCTCCATTGATGGTAAACTGTTAACCAGTTTTACCGACCAACAAGATTACAGAAATTACCGATAACTTTTGATAACAAAACCGGTTTTCGAATCTCAAATTTTCAAAAAAAAAAAAATTAGAAAAGCGATATTTACAACTTATTTTCTATTTCTCACATCGATCTATTACACTTGCAAAGTTTACAGAAATTGAAACAACTCTCACTTGCTAGAAAGCTAGGTTTAATCGTTTCTAGATCATTATATAATTTACCAAATGATTCGTTCTTCTCTCTGTACTTTCCAAATTCACATTTTCAGGATTTTCTCAAAACAAGTTATGATCTTGATAATAATTGATAAAACGTGTTTGTATAAATGTTTGTAAATTGACTAAAAACCTTACTAAACTAAAACCTTACAACTAATTTCAGTTTTCTTTTTTTCAATTCACGTAACTGTGTCAACATTTTCATGTTTTTAATCAAATACTGAAAATAATTGATTAATTCATTATTAAATTCTAGACTCAAAAGCCGTTTTCTCTAATTCTAATTACATAAATTTGTCGATTTTCAAAAACCGATAAACCCGGACTGATGCAAGGTATTAAGAACTATAGTATCTGAGATAAATAAAAGTCACGTAGATCATAGGAATGATATTATGTAATATGTTATAGTTATTGATCTTGTCTTTTAAATGTTAATCGCTTCTATAAAATTATGATGGAATTATTGTTGATCGGGTTGCTTACTATTGGAGAGGTGGATGCAGACAGGCAGGCAGGCAGCATGGATAGACAGACACATAATAACTAGTATTATATATCCTCGGCAGTATGGGGAATCGTGATACAATTCCAGAGAAGCAGCACGGAATTGCAATCGAACAAACCAATTATTATCATAAATTACCAACAACATATAAATTTAATTGCTTTCACCAAACAATTGTTTATTACTTTCCAATAATAACGTGCATTTCCTCCAGCAACTTTATTACGCGACAGCAATAAAAAAAATCATCATTCTACATTTATCAGTTATATTTTTATATCCACATTTAATTTATAAATTCCAGTTTTATGCTCATATTGTTATCGATTCCCATATAAAAAAAATCGAACATAATTTTCTGCTAGGATTGTTTCATTAGCGATAGTCTGGCTTCAATATATCCACGTAATATAAATAATATATGATTAAAATTCTGTTGTTTGAAAGCAATTCTATAATAATTGCGGATGATAATGTTGAAATNNNNATATGAATATAATGATGAAATATTAATTAGTATTAGTACACAAATTATGTTTGTTATTAATTAGAACAAAAAAAAAGCGAATACACTGAAGAAAACAAGAAAACCGTCGTTTCTCTGTTACGTATAAAACGTTAGTAGGCTTGTTGGAAAGGCAAAATATTCAGCTTTCATACGAGTGGTCAATGATGTAACCATCTTAAGGATTTGTCGAGAAAATCACGAAAAACTGTAAAAACTGAATAAAAAACGAGAAAAAATGTTCTTCAGCTTATAACAGGNNNNAAAAACGAGAAAACCGTCATTTCTCTGTTATGTATAAAACGTTAAGTATGTGTTTTTTTTTTCAATTTCTACAGCTCATAGCAGGTGACTCGATGACATCACAAAGATGTATGTAGGCTTGTTGGAATGGCAAAATATTCAGCTTTCATACGAGTGGTCGATGATGTAACTATCTTAAGGATTTATCGAGAAAATCATGAAAAATATGTATGTAGGCTTGATGGAAAGGTGATATAAATTCACGGATTATTTTCTATGATAATAAGAAAATAATCCGTTAATTTTCGACACATTAATTTGTAGGAAACTATCGAGAACTTATCTGCTTTGAAGTTAGAATCTACAGGACTAGAAGAAATCGATTGAGGAACTTTGAAATGGTTACGTATTTTCCTTGAATAAACTTAAGTCTAGTATATAGTGAGTGTAAGCACACAGCAAATGCGGGATTTAATAGAGTAGCTTGTTAGGGCTTAAGTTAAGATTAACTCAGAAAGGTGCGTTTCTGGAAGCACGTAATTTGCATTTAACAATTTAAAAATGATATATGGTTCAAGAATATTCATATAATATAATACACATAATTCAACTTTGGTTTTAACTTTTCTTTATAATTTCCCGGGAATTTCTTACAATAGATAGAACTAATCAGGATACAAAGATGTAAATAAGAAATGTCAACCAAATTATTTCATTACTTTACTCAACTTATGATAATTAGGTAACATTAATTTCAAAAAATAATAATAAAATGTTTGTTTTAAAACATAATTCCATTAATAAGTTTTACCAGAATATATGTATTTTATTATATATTCATTTATTGAAACTCACTGTGCATGTGGCATAATATATTGAATAATATATAATTTAAATATTTTATAATGCACCAACATTCCAATTATTTTACTGAATATTGTGAGATATAATTTGATAGATTTAATATGCCGCACATTCGATTTAGTTAAAGTTGTACAATACATAAATGTTTCCTGAAAATTATTATTTAAATATTACGAATATTTATTTGAATATTATACAAACATCTTGTAATGAATAGAAAATGAGGATTTAGATAAACTAAAATTGTTAATTTGTATATATATTTTCTTTACTTCAAAAAATAAAAAATTAATTACAAAACAAGTTACAATATTGTTGTTTTTGTAATAAAGTGCATTAATGAACTTGATTTAAATCTGTTGAGAAGCAAAGAGTGTTTCATGAATCTACAGTATAGTAAAAAATATAATATAAAGCAGAAATGTATGTCAATTAATCCTGTGATTAATTTATATTTTATAAATCTGAATGTGCATTTAGCTCAGCTTTTGAACATCATTAGCAGTATAGAAACTAAATTTTTAATTACAATCATATGCACTAATACCTAGCATAAAGAGGTATTATGTGAGGATTTGCTGTATATCGCCAATACTGTTTATAACCGGACTAATCGAGGATATTAAAACCGCTCAAATATAAGCAGCACAATTGTGTAAGAGGGAAAACCGATCATTTATGTATAAAAAATATATTTTTTTGTACTTCTAATTTTTTTGTAAGTTTAGAACAAACGATGATATTTTATTGTAAATTATTGGTCGAGACTTACCAAAGTTTGAAGATAGTAATGAATAAGTTTTCCATCTTCTATAAAAATATATTTTTTAGGAAACATATTTAGATCAAAATAATGAAATTGAATAAACTTTCTGTCTTAAAAAGTTGCGAAGTTATTATAAAAATAAATAGCATTATTACTGCAAGAATTATTTAAAAGATTAATCTAAACATTTTTCTCGTTATATGAAGCAATAAATTGTTAAAAACTCGCAATTGAAATATAATAGATCGCACCTATTCCAACGTAACTTGCAGATAGGGCAAAAGTAATTACTGGCATAGTGAAAGAGGGATAAAAAAAGACATGTTTTATTGCGTGAAAAGTTCGCCGGGAATTTTTTAAAGTCGTTTCTTTAACATTTTTCAGTTACGGCCAGTTTACATTCACCAACAAATAATATTTAGATTACGGACGAAAAAACACAAAGGGACGTTACATTTTCGTTTTTTCATTTCGCCCTGTGTGTGTGTGTGTTGCGGGTCTGTAAAAAAAATTCTATAAATTTTAAATGCGCGCTCCGGGGTCGCGAAAAGCGGGAAGGACGAAAGAGCAGGAGGCGCGCAATAAACATTCCGGGAGAGTAAAAAAAAATGGGAGAAGGAGGAAAAAGTCCGCAAGAGGATCCGTTGCGATGGAAGGCAGACGAGATAATTGGAAAGCATTAAGGGTATCCGAGGCGGCCTGCAGGGATTTATAGATCAACACGTTTTAGACAATTTTTTAAACTGGATTCACGAAAGCTTTAATTAAATGGCAGACGATAAATGAAAGTGTTGTAAAAGTGAAGGATTCGATGGGAATTATTAATGTTCAACCACCTGTGAAGGAAGTTTAGGCCTTAATTCATAAGCTTGTGAATTAAGTGTAACAACTTTGGATTTTGGTCGATGAGCAAAACTTGTTTTTGCTAAATACCTAAATTGGAGGAAAACAAAAAGTAGGGCAAATGTGTTTGTAGTAGGTGTTTGTGTTTATTTTCATTTCATTATTTCTGTTCTGTGTAATATATTTAAACAAAAAATATATATTAATGATATTACCTTGTGTGTAAATTATTGTCAATCACAAGTAATACTCAAATAGAAACACACGAAATGAATACTCTGGCTATTCCTCAAGCACATGCCATCTGGATACGGTTTGCGCACAAAACGGAATCTATCTGTGTCAGAGAGCTCAGGTGCGAAACGCGCGTCCCGACGCTCAGAACGGAGGCCGAAAACTGAGGCCGCGTCGGCGGGAGCGCCGCGACGCTGATCCAGCAGCGTCGGTAGAGGTGCTCCGTCTCTCTTGCACCCTCGCACCCTTGCACCACCCGCCTTTCGGCCGTCGGCGCTTCGCTCCGCCCGACGCTGAAAATTAAATAAATGCGTACACCGATTTTATAGACGATAATACCATTATCGCGCGGATCGCTATGATATCGTCGGCCGATAGCCGATTAAACTAATTTTATGCAGGTCTCCTTCCACAAACCGTTTTCCAATTACGTCGCTTCTTTGCAGCCGCATTTCGAAATTACTCTTACCGGTATTTACTTTATCTCCAGCAAAAATAAACAGATTCGAGTCTGAAACATTCCAGTTTCAGTGTATTGCGAAACATATGCAATAACACTTAGGAGAAGCAGTAGTAAATTTGTAACAGAATGCAACACAACGACATTCCAATACTGTTTTGAATAGACGTAACAAGTTGCAGATTATTTTTAATTTCCTAATATAAAAACATTACATAAAATCACATAATAATATAAATGTTTATTAAATATACAAAATCATATAAAGAGATTTAGTTACTAAAGTTAGTTAATTCAAATACATAACTAATTACATTACGTCGTATTAGAGAAGTGTTGCGTGCACACCTACGTTTTAAGTGAACACCTGCATGAACACCTACGTTGTAATTGAACACCTCCATACATACCTGAGTGAACACCTGTGTTTTAATCAAACACCTGCATTATAATTGAACACCTGCGTTTTAATTGAAGATCAGCGAAATGCAAAAAATAATTGTTTTTAAATATTAAATTTGATTTTAGTTTTTTTTTCAATTAAATTTTTAGTTTTTTTTGTCTGAAGAATAAAATTGCTTCGAAGAGTAAATGTAAGAAACTATTAATAATTTATAACAAATTTTAATATATTTTATATAGCAAATTTATCTATATTCCTAAAATATTTACAGAATTGTTGACATTTGTTATCTTCCACCTATCTATTTTTTTTTCGCTAATACCGAATTATGCAGTTTGTGTTTTCATTCAATGATCCATTATTTACGAATTGTTTTGTAACTCACACAATTTGCATAATGATGCACGTATTTTTCTGACCCACTAACCCTAAAAACATTTGGCGCCACGACGCCAAAAAAACAATAATTTTCAAACCATAGTCTCCATAGTCTTTCTTTATTTGCTTTCATAATACTTATTTAATAAATTTAATCTATTTTAATATTATCATACAAACGATCAAATTTTTAAATTCTAAAAATAACTTAAATAATTTAAAATTTCTCATTAGAAATTTAACAAAAGTCAAACAATTTGAAAGTATAAATTATTTATCCTAAACTGTAAATTCATAAGTAATAAATTTTATTTGATGATCTTTAGGATTAAATTATGCTATACACAAATTGAAATGATCCATAATAAGTTTATTTATCTATAATTATTTAGTTAGATAATAGCAAGAAACGAGTATATCAATAACAATTCCGAAATGATTATTGTATTAATTATGAGAAGTAAATAGCAAAACGTTAGCGAGTAATGGGACGTTATTTTGGAATTGGTTCAATTTAACACCTTTAACACCTGCTCGCACACCTGCGTGAACACCTGCTCGCACACCTGCGTGAACACCTGCGTGAACAAATGCATGAACACCTGCATGATCACCTAAGTTTTAATTAAACACCTCCATACATACCTGAATGAACACCTGTGTTTTAATCAAACACCTACATTATAATTGAACACCTGCGTTTTAATTGAAGACCAGCGAAATGCAAAAAATAACTATTTTTAAATATCATTTCCAATTTAGTTTCTTTTTTTAAATAAAATTTATAGTAACTCTTTTTGTGTGAAGAATAAAATTGCTTCGAAGAGTAAATGTAAGAAACTATTAATAATTAATACCGAATTAAACAGTTTGTATTTTCATTCAATGATCCATTATTTACGAATTGTTTTGTAAATCACACAATTTGCATAATAATATGCACGTATTTTTCTGACCCACTAACCTTAAAAACATTTGGCGCCACGACGTCAAGAAAAAAAAAAAATTTTTCAAACCAGAGTCTCGTATTTCTTTATTTGTTTTCATAATACTTATTTAATACATTTAATCTATTTTAATATTATCATACAACCAATTTAAATTCTAAAAATAACTTAAATAATTTAAAATTTCTCATTAGAAATTTAACAAAACTCAAACAATTTGAAAGTATAAATTGTTTATCCTAAACTGTAAATTCATAAGTAATGAATTTTATTGTTTATATGCTGATGATAAATTATGCTATACTCAAATTGAAATGATCCATAATAAGTTTATTTATCTATAATTATTTAGTTAGATAATAGCAAGAAACAAGTATATCAATAACAATTCCGAAATGATTATTGTATTAATTATGAGAAGTAAATAGCAAAACGTTAGCGATTATTGGATAACGTTGGATACCTAGAATGCATATTTATTGTGGAACGCGAGTAATGGGACGTTATTTTGGAATTGGCACACCTGCGTGAACACCTGCTCGCACACCTGCGTGAACACCTGCATGAACACCTGCATGATCACCTAAGTTGTAATTAAACACCTCCATACATACCTGAATGAACACCTGTGTTTTAATCAAACACCTGCATTATAATTGAACACCTGCGTTTTAATTGAAGACCAGCGAAATGCAAAAAATAACTATTTTTAAATATTAAATTTGATTTTTAAATATCATTTCCAATTTAGTTTCTTTTTTTAAATAAAATTTATTGTAACACTTTTTGTGTGAAGAATAAAATTGCTTCGAAGAGTAAATGTAAGAAACTATTAATAATTAATACCGAATTAAACAGTTTGTATTTTCATTCAGTGATCCATTATTTACGAATTGTTTTGTAATTGTAAAAACATTTGGTTATACGACGTCAAGAAAAAAAAAGCAATAATTTTCAAACCAGAGTCTCGTATTTCTTTATTTGTTTTCATAATCCTTATGTAATAAATTTAATCTATTTTAATATTATCATACAACGGATCAAATTTTTAAATTTTAAAAATAACTTAAATAATTTAAAATTTCTCATTAAAAATTTAACAAAAGTCAAACAATTTGAAAGTATAAATTGTTTATCCTAAACTGTAAATTCATAAGTAATAAATTTTATTGTTTATAGGCTGATGATCATTAGGATTAAATTATGCTATACACAAATTGAAATGATCCATAATAAGTTTATTTATCTATAATTATTTAGTTAGATAATAGCAAGAAACGAGTATATTAATAACAATTCCGAAATGATTATTGTATTAATTATGAGAAGTAAATAGCAAATCGTTAGCGATTATTGGATAACGTTGGATACCTAGAATGCATATTTATTGTGGAACGCGAGTAATGGGACGTTATTTTGGAATTGGTTCAATTTAATCTGTAATTCGCTTGGAGTTTATGCAATTTGGCTCGGCGGTCTTGCGTTCAATAGATAAGGAGTAGTGGTTAGCTTTATGATAATTAGCGATTATTAGCGAGGACGTAAAGGAGACTTGCTGAGATTAACACGTTTATCCTTTATAAACTCTGCAAATGGGCACTACTTTTCGGTCACGCTCTAGTTTTCGGCGCTAGATAAGGGCTGGAAGTAGGCGAGCAGGGCGAGAGTAGTGTGAGTATGGCGGCATGTCGGATGCGTGCTTAGCCTCAGATTATAAATCTAGGACATATGAAGGTTTACGTTGCATCCATTTCCGCAGGGACCGCGGCCGAATCCCAACTTTCTCAACAACCCAACGGACCCAACTTCTTTTTTTTTTCCCCTCATCCTGTCTCAACTCCACCGTTATGTACGATCGAAAACAACGCCGTTGAAACTTTGTTAATATTTGAAATTTCCGGTTACTCACATAATTTATGGTTGGACACGTAATATTCATGTTCAATTAATCATTCTCATCCACTTATATAATGTACTTTCTCTAATATCACAGATCAGATAAATTACATTGAAAATTATAATCACATTTGGTTACTTATGCGATCATTCAATTAGAGGAATGCATGAACAATCATGTTGAGTGAGAATCGATGAGGTGAGAATCGTAGTTGCGGTCTGAAAGATGTACAGCCAAAGTCAATCGACTATTTGCTGGTTGCGAGGAGCGCACTTACAGGCTTAACCTTTTCCATCGAGCGATGATCATACATGCTTTCGAAAATATTGATATCAAATGATTCTATTCAAGATGAAATCTATAGCCGTTTCCTCTTCATTCATAAAAATAAAAACATAAACAATAATTAATTTTGAAAAGAAGTTTTAAAATTTGCTATCAATATAATTTCGTGAATTAAATTTATTTGAGTAGACTTATTTGAAGTAAATGGGAAATTGTTTCTTCTACATTAAGGTTAATTAAGGTTTATAGAAAATCTGAATTTTCAAATTTCAATTTTTCTGCAAAACCGGTTTTTACGGAAAAACATATAGAGAGAAACCGTTTTTTTAGTTGAATTATATAAATTTCGTGAATTAAATTTATTTGAGTAGACTTATTTGAAGTAAATGGGAAATTTTTTCTTCTACAGATTTAATTAAGGTTTATACAAAATCCGAATTTTCAAATTTAAAATTTTCTGCAAAACCGGTTTTTACGGAAAAACATATAGAGGAAACCGTTTTTTAGTTCATTTCGTCAAAAAACCGAAAAAACCCTAATTGTAATGAATTTGTTATTATTGAAGACAATTTTCTGTTGGAAGATATAGGAATGGTAAGTATGTGTTTAATTGATGAAAGAATACATGGATAGATAGACTAATAGAATTATATAATCCATAATTCGATACACAAAAAATAGTTAAACTAGATAACTTTTACAAATAATGTAAACTGACTGACAGTAGATCTACGTAATGATCCAAATTTTGTCTCCGTATTTAATTGCTTTCTTCTTT